TCTCTCTCTCTCTCTCTCTCTCTCTCTCTCTTTCTCTCCCTTCCTTCCTCCCTCCCTCCCTCCCTCTTCTTCTCGTACTGCGCATATACCTCTGGCCATATCCCAGAAACCCCATGTGATCACCGTCGGTTCAAGGGCCGGTTAGGTATTCTTCGAGGCAGCGGGCCTTTCCACTCCGTTACCGGGCCTTGGGCTGGAAAGTCCCAGATGTCCCCACCGGCGTGGGGCGATGGTAGGCCGCCCAGGGGGTGAGCTATGGTCCCGCCGGTCTTGCTGAACGCGAAACATAGAGGAAGAAATATCGACTCAAATTGTAGGTGCTCTGCTGTTTTTATAGATGTGTATTGGGTCGACTCGTCCATTTACATAATTACCACTTAATACCTAACTTTCTGCAGTCAATGAAGCTAACAGTAGTTAACAGCTTTGTTATTCTAATTTACCAGCAAATGAATGCCTCACAAAGTTAACCCGGCAGTTGCTGGGGTATTTCGCCACCCGCCGTTTGCTTGGGGGGGGGGGGGGGCGTTAAACGCCCCCAGCCGATAACTCGAGAACCAATAGGCGCAGCGAAACGCACGAGCCGGCAAACGAAATAACGCGACGAGACGCTTCAGATGAGTACTTTGAAGTTGAATTTTGAGGTCACAGCTCGGGTCAAGGTCAGGTGAAACACCTGAAATAGGGTTTTCAGTAGCATGGACTAATCGCATTGGGCGCCTCTCGTCATAAACTCTGTCAAAATGGTGCACAATCTTCATATAAGGCCTACAAGAGTGTCAGCTCCATGTAGGGGTCAGTCAAGCATAGGTCAGGGTCAAGGTCAGGTAAACCGGGTAGGCACATATCCCCGAAAATCAAAACTGATATTCGCAGCCTGTGACACATGTTTTAGTAATTCTGGGCAAAGAACACGATGGTGACATTCATTTTATCATATGTGTACAGCCCTCTGCAAACTGCGTGGTAAGTATTCTTTTTTCGACAAAACCGAGAATAACGCGAATACTATGCCATCGGTCACTCGGAAATCGTAACAGTATGACGCGCGAGACTTCGCACCTTAGATTGGCATTATCATCGTGTTCATTTTCTATCCAGTTTGGCAACAAAATCCAAAAGTTTATATTTGCCCCCAAAACAGACTTTTGCATTTTGTTGCCACACAAGGTGTATACTTTGTCTAGTGATGGACCTAATCGAAGAAGTGGAGCATGGCGCATCTATTTGCAGTGAGTTCCGACCGACTGATAACATAGCCTTTGAGTTATCACCGGTTTTGTCGAAAAAAGAATACCTACCACGCAGTCTGCTGAGGGCTGTACGTGTTTGGTTCAAAAAGTTCAATTTAAGAAATGCATGTATCATGGTCGTGCTCGTGAAGTAGTCACGAGAAATTACCAAGATTCAGTTAAGATTTTGGAAAATGCGGAGCGATAATCAATAATCGAAGATAGCCATTTAATTGTTCATGGTATGGGCAGTCTAATGGCGTTTACGGCATGTGTGTATGTCCATTCTGTGATTTTATATGATTTTTGAACATCTGCCATTTTTGGTCGAAAACTCAGAAATCATGACGTCACTAAAACCTCGATATCTCAAAAATTTTCCGACTGATTTTTTTTTTTTTTTGAAACTTTGTCACAATAAACTTCAATCAATTCCCTACAGGTATCCAAATTTTGGCCATGGCGCGGCGAAAAAGTGGGGGCGTTTAACACCCCCAGCAACTCGCGGGTAAACCCGCGCCCCGTAGGGCTATCGGCGGACCCTACCACCCGTAGGGGGGGGGGGGCGTTTCGGCCCCCCTAAGATCTCGGAAATTTACCGGCCGATTTTCAAAATTTAAACGGCGTTCGATAGCCCCACCGGGGGAAAAACCTTGTGACCAAATTTCATTGACCTAGGTCAAACCGATGACGTCACAGGTCAGGTCAAAGGTCGGATTTTCACCGTTCACAGGCATTTCAAGAAATGTGTTGTGAAATCTCGTAAATTGGTAAGTTATTGAAAACCATCGCCATGGTACATTGTTCGTCAAGCACATACTTTGCTATCTGAGGTCATAGGCGTCGCCAGAGATTTTCGGTTGGGGGGGGGGGCAAAATCAACTTTTGTGTTAAAAAACTTGCCTTTCCCCAGTCTTTACTCACTCGTTTTACATATCATTCGACGCGCAATGGTGCGAGAAATCCGATGGTGACAAAGGTTTCCTTCTAGCTATGACATGAATTTTTTTACAGAAAAATTCGAAATTTTGAAATTTCATGACAAAAACGACTAGTAGCATTATAGTATATAGTGGCTGCGATTGCCGACGCACTGCAGAGGGCCCCTATGCAGACGCTCGACGCTCATGATCATTACCCAGAAAAGGTGAAAAACGCTCAATTTAATCGGATCACCCTGCTAAAACCTCCATTCACGCATGCATGCAGAGGTTTTACGTGGAATGCATAGGACTTATCCCAGCCGCCGATCGTAGCCAAGTTGGGCATTCGGCGGAGAGTGAATGTCGGAAGTGTGAATCGGAAGTAATTCATCTTTGCTCCGGTGAGAGGAAGTGATTTGTTCACTCGAGTGTGAACAAAAGTTTCTCGTTTTTCGTGTGAAGGTAAGCGCTGCAAACGCGAAAAAAAACTGTTAAATGGAACCAAAAGTTACGCACGGCATAGCGGCAAGGGATCCCTTAGAGATAGGTTTGGGACTTCCAGGCCATTTCAGGCCACTCAGGGTCAGTGCTGACTCTCAGAAGCATGCTTAGGATCCCGGAGATCGGCGTGGGTCACCTCAAATATTTACGTGTACGTGGTGCTTTAGGCCAGGGCTTTCCGAGCCCAAGGTGGGGCCCTCAGAAGCCAGTGTAGGCGGCGGGCGCTAAGAGACTAGGCCCAGGGTGAGCTTGGAGCCCTCGGATAACAGTGTGAACCCTCGGGGTCTGTGTCGAGTCCCCAAGGACCCTACGTAGGGACATAATAAACATGTGTTGCGAACCTCAGAGGGTTAGCAAAGTCTGTCGCCTCAAAAGTTTGGCTGAGCTATCAGAGGCCAGTTAAGGTTCTCAGAAATGTTCGAAGGCTCAAAGATCCCTGTATGGGCCCTCAGAGAACATGGACACCAGTGGTGAGTGGGACTTTCAGAGGCCGGTTTGGGCCCTCTGAAAGCATCTTTAGGGCTCAGTGGAGCACCTTAGGAGCCTTTGTTTAAAGCAAGCTCATGAGCCCTGCGACACTTGTACGATACTTGAGCCTGTCGCAGACATTTGACGAGAGTTGAGAAAGGCCCCGAAGATTTCGTTTCACGCTTTGAACGAAAATTGTGTCAGCACTCCAAAACTTATGAAAATCAGCTGTAAAATGTAATAAAGAACGAACTAGGAACATGGAATGAATCACAGCATTGACATTTCCGAGTCTGGACTCGGAGTCTTGAAGATTTTGGCGACTGCGAGTCAGACTCTGGTTTGAACTGCACGCTCCAACCGAGTCTGACCTCACAGGCATTCTCAGAAAGGTATCCCCATTTTTCCCGACTCCAAAATCTCATCGAATCTGTATCGATCTCTGGGGGTGCCCGGTCCGAGGTTGGGGGGGGGGGCAAGCTGCCCCGCTTGCCCCCCCCCCGTGGCGACGCTAACGTCTGAGGTCACTGATACCAGGTCAGGTCACAGAGGTCAGGTCACTGGTGGTCACAATATGAAAGTGTCGTGTGATACATGCTTTATGGTACATTTTACATGAAAAATGCGATTGTGTGGGTCAGGCAGCCCTTGGGGCCAGCTTAGGTCACGTTTTGGTGAAGGTCAGCTCAAGGTCAGGTCATATTAGGTCAAATTTCAAAGTTTATATTTTTGCATAAAATGGGTATCGATTCGATGCAGCTCGTCACGGGGAGTCTAATGGTGGTCTTTGTTTTGCCCTTAGTGGTCTAGAATTGCCAAAAAATGAATTTGAAAATTTGACTCATTATTTTTGAAGTTTTTTTTTCGCTATAACTTGGCTAAAAACGAGATATCGATCTGAAATTTGGTATGTAGATAGAAGACGGTAGGTAGTATCACATATGTTCCGGTTTTTTCGAAACTCAAACTTTTTGGATTTTTTGCCTAATATATCCAAAAAAATGCTTTTTTATTTTTGGGGGTCAAAACTCAAAGGTTTTGAAAAATCCGAGATAGCAGTTTTGTAGCTCTCTTAATTCTACATCTTTTGTGTCCTGATTATTTTTCTCTATCTTCAAAGCTGTAGGCCTGACAGCTCTTCTCGCGAAGGTCTTTTTTTTTCGGTCGAAAATGGCAGAACATGACGTCATTCTGACGTCATTTGTGGCCAACCTATCATAGCCTCTGGAAAATATTTGGTCATAATGTGTAAACTTGATGCCCGGAGGGGTCCTGAAAGTTTGGTGGCGATATTTCCAGCCGTTTAAGAGATATCGGCGGAAAAGGACGGGGGGCGTTTCGGCCCCCCCCCCCCCCCTCCCTACGGGGCGCGGGTGAATGGAAGCCGGTAGGTATTAGACGTCATTTTAGTACCTTGGCATTGCATGTGCACACTGGATAGTGAGTCATGCACATGCATGTGTTCATGCATGGAGATCTGGGAAGGGAAAGGGACCTAATCAGCATATAGGTATGCCAATGGGTTCACGATCTCGGTCAGTCTCTGTACTGTACATAGAAGAGATCGCGGTCGTGAACCCAATGGCCACAACGAGCCGTCTCGCACCGCTGCTCAATGCTCATGGTCTCAAAACTGCCGACGAACGAGGCGCCTGCCGATTGAGCCTCTATCTCTCATTCTCGGGAAACTTCAGGTAATTTTTTCGAAGCTGGTAGTACCTTACCGCTCGGCAAGAAGGAAAGACTACGAAACTGAAAAAGTTTCGTCCTAGGTTTTCAACTTTCTAGGTACTGTGATATGAGGCGTCATATATATAGTTAAAGTTTTGCTGTAGTATTGCTTAACGTCATTGCGTGGGATAAATACAGCTACTGCTACTTTTAACAAGCAATAATTTATTTGATATTCAGTATAGTCCTTAGACACAAAAAATATTAGGACGGTCACAGGGCGGTCGCACATAACAAATACAGACACACGTATCGAATAACTCGATTGTAATAAAAGAACGCTGATGCAACGCAGTACGCACCATCGGTCAACCAATTAGTTGCTTATCATTTAAACACGAGCGGATTGCCGGCAGCGTCAACGGTCTGAAGTCTGCCCGATCTACCGCTTGTTTTTAGCTGCCTGTTACGATGATTTCACGACAAAGTTCGTCAGGCGTAGCAGCAGTAGTAGCAGGACCGCTTGCAGGAGGGGCAGCACTGGTCACAGCAGCCACCCCCGTCGTCCGGGGCCAGGAGGGGGTGGGCGGCCCGCGGCGCAGCGGCGGCAGACGTCAGGGCGGGCAGGGCAGACATCAGCAGCAGCAGGCAGCCCGCCGCCAGCAGCTAAAAATCAAGGGGAGTAGGGGATAGCTTTTTTAGTCTTATGTCTATGATGCCTACCAAAATTGACCATCTATTCAATTACAAGGTATTTGTTATTTCAATCGAATAGACGTTAAAATGTGGCATTAATAGGCATTTCAAAGACGGCATGCAGCAATCCAATGACGAGATGAGCCATCCGTCAACGTAAGCTTGGTGAGCGAAGGAGGGCACCGAAAACGTCTAAATACTTCGATTCACATTAGAAAAAATGTTTGTACTTACCATGATCACCACTGTCCTCATTTTTTCTTGCTATCCTCTCCGACTCTAGACGCTTCACAGTCGATCCCGCCTGCCGACCTCAAAGGTTGCTCGTGCAGTAATGATCCCGATCTGTCGTTTTTTTTTTGTTTGTTTGTTTTGTTGGGTTAGGCCCTTTCGGTCTGGCAAGACCATTTCAGAGCCGGGAGGATGATAGGATATAGGGGGAGACATTGGTCTGGGCAGGCACCCTAGTGAGTCGCCGGGGCTGAGCCCGTCCAGAGGACAGGCCACCCAGCCCCAAGGCACTCACTGCACCCGGCTACGGGGTGCGCTCCCTCGGGAGCAGCGGTGCCGCTCCAAGGGAGCAGCCCGCATGAGATAAAGGTGCCTGTCCAGCCCGGAGGGGGTTGCGGCGTGGAGGAGAAGGATTTCTGTATCCTGAGGATAGAAGCACGGAACGGTGATCTGTCGGTCCGGTGGCGCTTTATAAGGCCTCTGGGGAGTCACCTTGGCACCAAACAGAGGGCGTTCCAGAGAGGGAGGAGGAAGAGACCGACTGCGCCACGTTCCACGAAGCGCCTCAGGGAGGGGCCGCCGCCGATCTAATCCGGCCATCAGATGCAAACTATGGAGATGCAGATATTGATGCTTCTTGGGATAGACAAATATGAGCTCGTAAGATTGTTGACGTCCGTGGCTATAAACTAGAGGTTTTCTTGTTAGTTGTCTTGGCAATTTAATCCAATAAAATGCTATGTATATTATGACAGGTATGTGTAGTTTAGGCGGTGGAATCGATAAAGCACTTCAGCGTTTTACAGTGCGTTGTACATGCGCACTAAGCTCGTGTAGACGAGTATGGTCAAACAAATGGCTTGCCGACAGACGAGGAATGATTGAGTCCCATTTACCATTTATTCGGTATATGTTATTGTAATTATCTACAATTTGCCCAGACAGCACTTGACACCGGCACCGGGTCAGGGGCCGCTTAGCTACAGGCGAGGGCGAGGGAGGGAGGGCTGACCTCACCAGCCACCACGATACATGGGGCTCACGTACCCAACACCATCTCCTTTGTCATCTGTGCCCTTTGTCCACACCATCCTCTGTGGCAATAGGCAAAGCTACGAGTGCCAAACACATCGGGCGCCTTCGGAACTCCGAAACGGGACATATTTTTAAGGAAACATATAACACTTACAGTTACCGCACATCGCAGCTTGACATGAGCAATTTATTAATGATTTTTTTTTTGTCGCAAAAATTGATTGCATAAAAAACAGAAACAAAACACATTTTTCGAACAATCGACATACTCTTAGCTTGCCAGTCCCCTCTAGTAACATTGGATTATGCAGTCAACTGTCATACAGTGCATACTAGAGAACGATCCATGCGCCAAATTTGTTGAGTTCACTATTGTCTGCACTACTTACAATTTAAAGCCAGCCAAAAATCACTTTGTCCCACTGATGCTGTGGTCCGATCTCCAGCTTCAGCGCTCATCCGGCGACCTCACGCTGGGAGCCGCGGAAGCAGCACTGACGGCACTGCAGGGCGCAGGTGTTGCAGCAGGTCTTGCACGTGCAGTGCGGCCGAGCCTGGAAGCTGGTGGGCCCGGTGTACGGGGAACGCTGGGCCGCCGCCTCAGCCAGTGGCGTCATGGTGAACAACAGCGTGCAGCCAATAACGAGTACCTGAAATATAGGACAATCACGAGGAGAAATTATGGACAACTCATAGCGTTTGGATTTATCTAAAAGTTTGGACACATCAAAGCTACATGCTGAAAGAGGCGAGCTTACCACCAAGAGCACGATCTTCATCTCTTGTCTTGAATAGTGCACTTCTCTTGTCAAAGGCATCAGAGTTTCATCCAACTGGCCTTGCCTTCGCTCGAAATTGCTTGCTCTCCGCTAGTACGCAGGCGGCTTTTATACTTCCGCCTACAACTGCGCTGCTGGGGACAAGGACAGACCGTACTTCGCATTATGCTGCGCAAAAGCGGTTGTTCTCGCTTAGTAGAGGGTGTTTGTGAGCACCCTGCACGTATCCGGCTGGCGACGTGACGAGGGATTTCAGCGGGCCTCAAACTGCGTCCCAGCGCACTGCGTGGCAAGATTACTTTACTTATAGTGCGTGCAGTGCGTACTTACATACGACATCAAAACAAGTGGCAATTGAAGAAAGGGCACCTTCAAATATTCAGGCTGAGGTGTGACAACGTCGGTAGATGCGTAGGTGCGGGGTAAAAAGTAACAATAGGGCAAAACAGTTAACAAACGAGAGAGAAAAATAATACACTGCTATCAGGGCTGCGGAGTTGGAGTCGGAGTCGGAGTTGGAGTCGGTCGGAGTCGGCAGTTTTGCCCGGACTCGGAGTCGGAGTTGGAGTCGCTAAAATCTTACCGACTCCGACTCTGGAGTCGGAGTTAACACTGCATGACTCAAAGTCATGCCCTACACCTGGTTGCTTCACGATATTTCGCTCATTTACCTTTCATAATCAGATTTTGTTGAAGCTAAGGACATACCCCTGTTCTGAACGATCGTTTTCATAGAAAAAAGCTAGACGCCTAGACGGCTGCTGCGTCTAAGCCTGCTTTTTTATTGCCAATTAAGAAGTGCCCACTTATTTGCAATGTAAGGCATTGGAACGCGCAATTGGCCGCCTCAGCCTTCAGGTACGATAAAAAGATCTCCGACATGAAATTTGATTTCAATATATGGACTTAATGATCAATGTCCGGAGTCGGAGCTGGAGTCGGAGTCGGAGTCGGAGTCGGAGTCGGAGTCGATTTTGGAAGCCGGAGTCGGAGTCGGAGTCGGAATCACCTAAAAACCCATCGACTCCGCAGCCCTGACAACTATACTTATTTGCGAAAAACAACCTGGTTTGTAATGACCATCATCGCGTTTTATACCAAGGTCAATGGTCAATTAACCGGTCAGAACCAGTGCTATGTCTGATTTTGGCCATAGTAATAACGCGTCAACGGGGAAAGCTAGGTAATACCGAGGCCCAAAGGTCTGAATATAACACCTCGGCCGCACTGCCACGGGAAAGAGGAGACTGGCACCAGCCTGCACAGATGTCGCTGGTGTACTGAAATGGACCTCGGGTGGGGTGAAGCTGGGAGCTGGAACACAGTGCCGACAGGTGGCGCCCGCGGATCGTTAGTTCGGTCCGATGCCGTTCAGATGGCAGCAGTGCAGGCCGGGTCCAACACCCAGATCCTGTGGGCCGCTGTCGGGCGCTAGGCTGCCATGTGCCCGTGAATTATTTTGAGTGGGTGTTGGATGAAGTGTGAAGCGGGTGAGGGCAGTGGAGAGGTCGTTTAAGTTTCCGAGTACTTGCCATGGAGGACCTCTCCAGCTTGTGAAATCAAACTGGCGACTGTCGAGCCAAGGGTGTCACTTTCCAAAAATGGTCTATAACGGTAAATTTTAGAAAATTAGAGCCATTCTACCACACAATTTCATGAAAATTTTAAACCGCGTCCTGGTGGGGTCTGTTTATAACGCGACCTGGTGGGGTGGGGGGGCGGGTATTTTTTGCCCCCCCCCTCTCGTATCTCCGAAACTACTGGACGGATCCGCAAAATTCAAACGGCGTTCGAAAGGCCTGTCAAATTTGTCGAAGGAAACCAAATTTCATTGACCTCGGGGTCACCGATGACGTCACAGGTCAGGTCAAAGATGAAATGTTTCACCGTTCACGGGTCATCTGGGAATGCGCTATAACACCGAAGAAAACGCATTTTGTCGAGAATCAGCGATAGGGCGTCAGTTGCCTAGTACATATGTTGCTATAAGAGGTCACTGACATTACCAGGTCAGGTCACAGGTCAGGTCACCAAGGGTCACAGGTCAGGTCACATGAACCTAACTTTAGGTACTTAGCTTGTGCGATGCATGTTTTATGGCCAATTTTTCATTTCCAACTCAATGGTGTTGGTTATAAGACTATCAGGTACGGCTTAGGTCACTTTCTGGTGAAGGTCAGGTCAAGGTCAGGTAAAAAAAGGTCAAATTTTAAAGTTGATAGTTTTGCATAAAATGGGTATTGATTCGATGCAGCTCGTCACGGGGAGTCTAATGGTGGTCTTTGTTTTGCGCTACGGGGTCTAGAATTGCTAAAAATTGAGTTTGAAAATTTGACGTCATCAATTTTGAACAGTTTTTTTCGGTATAACTTCGCCAAAAAAAGAGGTATCAATCTCAAATTTGGTATGTGGATAGAAGGCGATAAGGACTATCACATATGTTCCGGTTTTTGCGAAATTCAAAAAACTTTTTGGATTTTACGGCTATTATATTCAAAAAATATATTTTTTGATTTTTGGGGGTCAAAATCCAAAATTTTCAAAAATTCGAGATAGTAGTTTTGTAGGCTGTAGCCCTGTCAATCTACAGCTTTTATGTCTTTATCGTTTTTCTGTATTTGCAAAGCTATAGGCCTGACAGCTCTTCCCGCGAAACCCTTTTTTGGGTCGAAAACGGCAGAACATGACGTCACTCTTACGTCATTGCCGGCCAACCTATCATAGCCTTTGGCAAAATTTTTGGTCACAATGTGTAAAATTGATGTCCGGGAGGGTACTGAAAGTTTGGTGACGATCGGCGCAGCGGTTCTGTAGATATATCGAAATGTCTGGAGGGGGGGGGGGGGCAAAAAATAGCCCCCCACCAGGGCGCGGGTTAATAAACAAACAATCCAGACTATCTCCACGATCACCACGTTACCAATTTTAGTTTCCTTATATCGTTGGTTTCTTATCTACAGTTTTTCTTTTTTACAGATACGCCTAGGATGAGCCGCGGAATGAGGTCAGACATTGCAGATTTTGTAATCGAACGCCGACTGAAGCCCGAACGGGGCATCAGTATCACTTTGAGAAGGAAACACCCCGAACGGTCGCCCTCTATAGTCTAAATCAGTCAAGCGCTTACGGTTCAACACGGAGAAGTATTATGTTTTTCAGGAGACGGGTTTATTTTTGTAGAGTAATTTTTTACGGTCAAATCAGAGTGCGGCTGAGCTTTATAGCACGATATAAAAATTTATTTTTTCCAGTGTTTGGGACTAGCAGCGATAAGCCCTCTCACTTATTGAGGGGTATGATAGACCCCACACCTAGGTTTTTTTGCGAATAACTCGCATAAAAAAATTGGCCCAGCGTGGCAAAAGTTTTAGTAGGTATTCTCGTGATTACTTCAACTCTACACATTTCCTGAAAATGTAATTAACCTGTTCCCTGACCCTCATTCTCATTGAACTGTGGCCTGTTTCTTGAGTCATTTTCAGGCAAGTAGCTTTTTAGGATGGTGAGCTGTTTTCAGGCAGTAGCTGTTGGTTTCCAGCGTTTGGGAAATCGATACATAAGCCCTCACACTTTCTGCGGTCGGTTAGATTCCTTACGCACTGCTGTTCCGTTTAACCCGCGCCCTGATGGGCTCTGCCGAGCAACGCGGTCTGATGGGGGGGCATTTTGCCCCCCCCCTAAGATCTCGAGAACCACGCAACATAGCGACAAGCGGTAAACGGCGTTAGATAGCCCCAACGGGGAACTACCTTGTGACCCAATTTCATTGACCTCGGTCAAACCGATGACGTCACAGGTCAGGTCAAAGGCCGAATTTTCACCGTTTACAGGCATTTCAAGAAATGCGTTGTAAAATCGAGTAAAATGCATTTCATTGAAAATCATCGATGAGGAAATGTTCTTCAAACACATATTTTGCTATTTGAGGTCACTGATACCAGGTCAGGTCACAGAGGTCAGGTCACTGGGGGGTCACAATATGAAAGTGTCGTGTGATACATGTTTTATGGTCCATTTTACATGACAAATGCGGTTATGTGGGTCAGGCAGACTTTTGGGCCAGCTTAGGTCACGTTTTGGTCAAGGTTAGGTCAAGGTCAGGTCAAGGTCAGGTCAAATTAGGTCAAATTTCAAAGTTGATATTTTTGCATAAAATGGGTATTGATTCGATGCAGCTTGTCACGGGGAGTTCAATGGTGGTCTCCGTTTTGCGCTACGAGGTCTAGAATTGCTAAAAATTGAGTTCAAAAATTTAACGTCATCAATTTTTAACAGTTTTTCGCTATAACTTGGCCAAAAAAAGAGGTATCGATCTCAAATTTGGTATGTATATCGAAGAGCGCAGGGACTATCACATATATTCCGGTTTTTTCGAAATTGGAAAATTTTTCGGATTTTTTTTTGAGTTTTTATAAAAAAAAATAATTTTTTGAATTTTTTGAGGTCAAAATCCAAAAATTTTGAAAATCCGAGATAGCAGTTTTGTAGCGCCATTTTTTCTCTACACAACCACATAAAGAACTTTAAAATTGCTTGTTAACTGTAGAATTGGTGAGCGTTTCAAGATGTCATGTTTTTTGCTCATTTTTTATTCGAACATGACCTCAGTTTGACCTCAATAACTCCTGACCTGAGGTGACCTGTGACTTGAAATTTTGTGTGAAGGTGTCAAATTGATGCCCGGTAAGGTACCCAAAATTTGGCGGCGCTGCGCGCCGCCGTTTTCTCGCTATTCAAGAAAAACTACAAGGGGGGCCAAAATGGCCCCCCATCAGGGCGCGGGTACTTTTTAGTAAAGGCATTTTGTTTCATTTTCGGAAAGCCGGAAATTTTCGTCCATTTCGGACGTTGCGGGGGATATTTACCCCAAATGTCACCCTGCCCGTGCCGGTCTGGATCCACTGGTATAAGGTCAGGTGGCCTACTATTTCTTTTTTTCTCAAAATAAGAATAAAAATCATGGCATCAGGGCTGTGACGAAAAATAAGTGGCCTAATTCCGATCAGAAAACCGGATTTGGGGGTACCCTAGGTTTGGCTTCTGAGCCTCTGCCCCCCCCCCCCCAGTGAAAATTCCTTAGAGGAGGCCCTGAATTGCACGCAACCATTGCTTCTTCCTGTTAAGACAATATTTCAACATGAAAACTGTATTTCCAATGTAAGGCACTTGGAATGCTCTCAACTGTCCGCTCCGGACATATGCGCCGCTGGCAACATCATCAGATCAGATCCTTCCATCACTGCCATTATACACCTGCCAACACAGTCATCATTACATCGCACTTCAATCATGTGATCCTCATGATTTCACAATACCAAAACAGTCGCATTTACCTACAAGTACACAATCGACAAGCTTCTTTCCACGTCATTCTTCTCGCGACATTTAGCGAGTACCTCCATCATAATTCTGTGCGTACCACACGTTTGTTACTGTACCCCTGCATCATCTATCCTCTCGCAATCATGGGGATAAGATAATCATTATTGCTTGCGATACTGTAAGACCTTAGTAAACTAAAACAGGAGAGTTTAGTTTATCGAGATGATGATGTGACTACTCAAGCAGCAGTATTAAATGCTTCGCAAATACGTTAAAATGCATCACACACAAAAGCAGCAACATTCACATGCAAAAAAAGTCATAATCCAACATAAGACAAGCACTAAGCTTACGTATAGACTTATACCTATTGTTACACATTGTAAATGACACGGGAAGTAAACGGTTATACAGTAAATAAATAGTCAAACAAAGTATGTAGGTAAAAGTTACTTGATTTACACATTCTCACATTTTTCATCCGACATCTTTTTCCAAAACTCTAGAAACGAAGGTTGACTAAAGCATGACTGTTCCAATGCGATGTTACGCATAGGTATTTATCTACTTTCAATATTCAATGAACTGGAACGACTAAAAAATGCAAGTCCATTATTCGTCGTGCTCAACGACTTTGTGCGAACACTATGTTGTGCGATCTCAGCCAAAAATGGCGAAAAGCCTTATAAGACTGAAGCGTTTATGTGACTATTGATAATTGCACATTCAGATTGTCGCTTGTTTGGTGTCAAGTTTCGTTGCTGTTTTTCAGGCATAGCAATTCACAAATACGCAGCAAAACTCAGACTATTTACAAGCCTAAGGTAGTTAAACATGCAAGTCAGCATTGAGTATTGAGAAACTATACTATACTGTTCCATTAGGTATTAGGTATGTAAGCCACGATCTGATGAAAAGGGGTGTACTCAAGGGGTCGTGAGGTGAGGTGCTTGTTTGCTTTTTTAATGAGATGGAAATGACTAAAAAAAAAAAAAAAAAATGCTGGGCTAACATGGGTGCTGATAAAACATAAATCAAACAAACTTCTGACGAAAATTCATGCTTTAAAATTCATGTAGTACCCTATACTCCTTGAGTACACCACCTTGGCTAGCAAAATCACCGCCGCATGTTCACCAGATCGTGCCTTAGACTAAAAAAGACGGCAGCGGGTACGAGTCCTTGTCGCGCCGTTCGTCCTCTGATTTTACCACGGCGTCCGACATCGCCTCCCCGGTGATATCGCTCTCCCCTCGCAGCGGCCCAAAATCCGCGCGAGGCGGCGTCTGCGACTGCGCGAACAGACAGTCGCTGATTGGCTGCGGCACCGGCTGGTAGGCGGAGTAAGCGCCGACCGGGGGCGGAGCCGAGCCGAGGGGCGGTGGCGGCGGAGGGGGCGGAGGGGGCGGCTGCGGCTGGTAGCCGTACGTGTTGGCGTTGAAGAGGTTCATGTGGCCGTCGTAGGAAGTGCCGTATGACCAGTCCGGCACCTGAGAGTAGTTGGTGACGTTGAAGGAGTTGATGGGCGCTCCCAACAGCGGGCCGGAGGACACTGAAACGGAAACGAGACGGAGTCAGTCCACCGTCACACGGAATTGAACACGATGCATCACAGCAACAGAAGGATCAAATCACAATTGCCCTATTGGGCGATGTTTTCTCCTTTGTATTCAAAAGCTTCTGTGAGGCAGGCTTTTATTGTCATGAATATTGCTATTTGCTGAATCGATAAATGTGCAAAGAGAATGTAATAATGAAAAAGTCATTTTCTCCGACCCAAAGACCATAAGCTAGTCCAATCTACGCTTCCACTTACTGCCGGGCACGTAGTTTTTGCGCGGCGGCTCTCGTTTGCGCCACTTGGCGCGCCGATTCTGGAACCAGACCTGCACGCGCGACTCGTTCAGGTTCAGTTTGAGCGCCAGCTCCTCGCGCGCAAAAATGTCCGGGTACGGGGCGCGCTCGAAGGCCCGCTCCAGTTCGTCCAGCTGGTAGGCCGTGAACGTGGTCCTGCAACAAATGATAGGAAAGGTCAAATAAGAGAAAACTCATAAATCCGGCCTATATCTCAACTCAAGCACAAGTATGACCGCAGTTAAGAATAAGAGTTGGTCTTGATGAGTACTAAATCATTGTAATTTGTAAAGCTCGGCATTCGGCTAGCGTTTAAACACGAAAGCTTCATGTCGTTTCACACAAGCGCCCTTTTTGTCAGTTTTGATAGAATATAGATTCGAACAAACCTCGTTTTCTTCTTCTTCACACCGGACTCATTTTTCTTTGAAGACTTCTCAGATTTCTTAGTTTCAGACGTAGAAGCTGTAAAGAGGCAAACATGCTACATTAATCAACTGTCTCTGAGCAATCACTCAACAAGTGATCGACGCGTGGTTTCTGTCGGCGTCTGAGGCGGTTTCTCTGCTCGGACAGAGCCAGCCGTCAACTGTCCGTCAGTCTAACTGACCCAAGTGCGGCAGCGGGCCGTGTGATTAATTCAATTACACCTCATCTGGGTCGAATTCGGGCCATTGAGGAGCGGGGCGGCGCGCTTGTGCGAGAGGCCAGGGACAATGTCACGCCGCGGAGGTCGACAGTGGGGGAGCGGTGACCGGCGAAGGTGCGTGTGTGGGCTTCAGGAAGGAGTCGGGCCGACCTGACTCGGCGAGTCGCTAGAGAGTGACAACAACAAGTTGAAGAAGATAGTTGGGAAAATAGCGTTTAATATTTCATTTTGAGTCGAGAATAAGCCGGTGAGCATAAAACTTGACTAAAATCAAGGAACTACGTTAGCTTCATCAACAAGCTCTTCAACCACCACTGCCGAGTTCTGTGACCTCAGATCTACTCACGCTGTGCGGCGGACGTTGCCGGTGGCTGCTGCTGCTGCTGCTGCTGTTGCTGTTGGTGTTGCTGCTGGTGCTGCTGGTGCTGCTGCTGGTGCTGTTGGGGCGCCAGCGGGGGCACTGAGGTCACCACCGGCGGCGGGGTCAAGGCCACGCTGCCCGGGGGCGTCAGCTCGGACAGTGAGGTCGCCAACAGGCCGCCGGGGTCACCGCCGACGCCGTACAGCTCCTGACCCAGGCCTAGCATCACCTGGATGGAGTGGAAGTTCCGCGGGTCCGTCTGTGGAGGGAGGGGTGTGCTGGTGAGGGAGAGATCGGGAGCACAAACAATGCAAAGGTGATGACCGGCGCTAGCTAAACACTGTCATTTTCACGCTTGTCATCAGATATATCGATTTTCAAGAAGCCCATGAAATATGTTGGATCTAAAATGAGAAAATTATTATTACGCTGTAAGCATACATAGTTACAATTACACCTTAATTCACTCATTCAGATACTTCGTCCAAACACCATGTAATATGTATTGAAGGGCAAGTGACACGTGCCCAAAGAGCATTCTAAAACAATATTTGCACTCTTTGCTACATTTGCTTCATAAAAAGATATTTGCTATAAAGAAAAACCTAAGAATATGTCAGCATCTAAAAATTCAGCTCATTTTTCCTTTTTTGAACGCGTAAAAGAAGCCATTCACGCATAATGCTTGATGAACACAAATGATTGTTACAGCCAACAGGCGAGCCTATCTGACCGTGAACGGGGAAATAATTTGAAGTTTAAAGCAAAATGATGTGTCACTCAGTACTCACAGATTTTTTGGATACCTAGCGCGACTCAGAAATAAGATTTATAAATTTGAAACTTGTTTCTTTTTTAACAAAACTTTTAAACTGAGATATACCTATCTAAAGATAAGATCAGGAAAATGACGACACTTTTTGCGTGCACCTTACAAATGCAACTATGTAGGACATGCTTTTTAATCGAACCGTTTTAAAGCATCTTGAAAGTGTTTTCACAAACTTTTTTGAATATGTTTTCGTCGCCTGCTATCCCATGAACTCTTGTAGATAATATTGATCCAAAAAATAGCATCACATAAAGACCACGCGGAAAACCGCGACAACAACCAAAGATATTTCAGCATTGGTTAGTCCGAATCGACACTTACCGGAGATTTGGAGGCCTGCGGTGTCGTGTAGAGGTGTTGTTGCTGCTGCTGTTGCTGATACTGAGGAAGCAGACCATGCTGCTGCTGCTGATGTTGGCTCACTGGTGGACCCTCCTGTGCCAGATATTCCTGCTGGTCGCCACTCATGGCACTTCTCTGGGTCGGAAACCCAGAGGAGGCGCCGGAAGATGACCGAAAATCAAAGGTCGCCGACGGCAGCAAAAAACAGGAATCGTTCGCGGAAACAGTATCGGACTGATAATGACCAATCGCAACCTAAATTGGAATGAAAGGACAGACCCGACTAAACTAACTCAATAAGCTTCAATGAAGTCAGATGATTTTGCAACAGCTTTACATTGGGTTTATATAGTTCGTTAAGCGCCGCCCCGCCTAGGCACCGAGCGACCAATGAGCGGCCGGCGTGCTGGTGACGTCAGAGCACGTGTCTGAGGTCCGAAGGCACGCGCGGCCCGCAGCGGCGCGTGGTAAAACGCGCCGCCAGCCAGCTTTAACTAGGGGGAAATCATTATCGCTCCCCATCGAGTGTAATCGGCCCGCCCATCTCGGTCCCCACTGGCCGTCAATTATTCTGGTTAATTATTCCAGCATATTGTTAATTGTAACTCGATTCAGAGCACCTCTTCTGCGCACCACGTCTATTCACGAGGAAAACAATAAGCCGAGAAGAGCCCTATTAAAAGGCTAATTCTGCGGGACGGGGGACGGGCTCACTTTTGTTCCCCCTGTGCTATGACACGCGCCGCGCTGGGCGGTGGTGGGGTGCGGGAGTTTCATCCACGTACTGAGCCAGAGCCGGAGAACCACGACTAAACTCATGGTAACCGCTGATCGCAAATTAAAAGGGATGATGCTGGTAAACCGGCTCCGTATCCGCTCCGTAAAATGCGCGTGAAATCGGCGCACGCGCACGGCGCAGGTGTGGCGTTCACCGCAGCGGGGCTGCTTCTGCTGCAGGTGTGCAAGGTGGGGTGGTGATAGGTCAGTGTTAAAACCCCGTAGGAGGCCTGCAGGTGCTCGCGGGGTCATTCAGAGGTGTGGGTTACTCTTAAAGAGGTAAATGATGCTTTTTGTCCTTTCACTTGTTTGTTATCGATGCCTACTATTCATGAGTATTGGCCATGACAACACAATGGGCACTATAATATGTAGAATTAGTTTTACGTAGATGCCTCATATCCACGTTATACACACCTACTGACGCGCTTTATGTAGCAACTTTTCCGCAGTTTCTGCTACTTTCACTTAAAATTCGTTGTTACATCCAAATTTTCATTAACCACTGGTCAAGCTTATATCTACAATAATAAAAAAGTTTAAGATACAAATGGTAGGATAACATAAAGCTGAATTAGCCCTCGCCGGACCTATTGGTTTTCTACATACGCGCCGGCCGAGGGGGGGGGGATGGGGTGGTTACGACTAGAGATGTCAATCGGATAACAACTTTTAGGTATACCGATACCAAACCGATACCAACTTGGTTATTTGGTATTTTAATTGTCAAGGCAAATGCATTTGGTATTTTGTTGGTATCATGAATCCTTACTCATATAAAAGAGGCTTAGATTTTGGTATGAAACGTGGTATTTTCCTCATATTCCCAAGTCGGTTCCGTTTCGGTATTTTTCCAGGGGTATTGTTGGTATTTGGTTTGGTATCGGTATCACGATTTTCCATAATTGACATCACTAGTTACGACCCCCTCGCCGTTTCGCCCCTGGTGGAGCTAGCGCATCGCAAAAAAACGAGCGTGTGCACTGTGCACCGTTACGAGACGCAGAGATTGGTACCCGATTTCAAGGTCCTAGGTCAACCGGTGACCTCTGAGGTCAGGTCAAGTGCCCTAAGGTACGGTTCAGTTGTTGGTGAATAACTTTGCAAAAAACGGCTGCAGAGCCCGCGATCTTGGCAGCATCGTGTTCGCCCTGCTCAGGCGCGTCGAATGATATACTTTTTGTTTGGGTCAGGTCAACTTAGGGTGTTGCCCTCACGTCACGGTCAGGTCAGCACCCCCAGGTCACGAAGCTGGTCGAAAGAGGTCATGTTGCATATCATTCGATTTGGCAGGTATTTCTGAGTCCATTGGTGGCTTTTCCGACTCGCTAGCTCAATTTGATCGGGAGTTATTGACGAAAAACTAATATTACCTTGATGACGTCATAAATGACGTCACGCAAGGTTAACACTGCAAAAGTGATGCTCTAACCTTGCAAGGAGTGCATCAAATCACGATTCTGTGTGCTTGAGATAGTTGGAGATCGTTCCCGGCGCCAGAATAGCAGTTTTCATTTTTCCCCATTGACTTATAATGGCGAGGTCACGAAAATGACCTGACCTCATATGACCTTTAGGAAAAATCCAAGATAAACATGTTGTGAGACTCGTATGGGATACTAGATCCTGCAAGTTTCATTTCCCTGTGAAAGCTCCTCTGGCAGTGAGGGCGTTGCGAAGTTGCGACATCTGAAGACCGTGCAGAGGTCCACTTATGACGTCATAGATCAGTGGCCTAACCTGACCCGAAAATGCGGTTGGTGTCAAAAGATTCGGCTTGAATCAAAGGTCATGATGCCAAGTTTCAGTTCTCTATCGCCAGCGTGTTCGGAGCTATCGCGAAAAAAAAAACTATGGGGGCGGCACCCCTTCGGCCGGCGAGGGTTAAAATGTGATGAACAGCGAAATTTTACAGTTTATGTTTTGGTAGATCACAAAAAAAAATTTGAAGTTGAAATATTGTAAAGTTTTCTACTAACAATGCAATGTTGAGTAAGTCTAAAGTTATGATAAGGTGCTTAGCTGTTTTCAGGCGTAAATATATTTATGGTATTACCATAGGCCTCTGATTATAATTGCGTGCACGACTAGGTATTTCGTGACGTCAGATGCGCGTATTGCTTTTCATTAGCTTAGCGGGTGATACAAGTTCATTTACAAATCATTTGCAGATATGTGCAACAATGCGAGAAAACGGATCTGGGATCTAATCCCATGGATCTTGATCTTGGATACGATTGGATTGGATCCTACATACAGTCATAGAAATAGTAGATAATCAATTGTTACAATTCGCAATGGCTCTGTTTCAGGGATTTTATGTAATAACACATAACAATGTATAGTTTTGATGCACTTATGACATGAAATCTCATGGGAACAAGGTTTCACAGATTGCATTTGGTGGGATCCATTCGGATCATAGATCTAAGATCCCAGTTCTTCATTTATGGTCAGATTCTATAAGAGCATATATCCATGATACACGAGTATTTTTTAAGTGGGATCTAGTGAGATCATATATTTTATTTTATCGTTTGCTTTGAGATCCACTGAGATCATAGATCCACCGCTCGGAGCAATGTACTTACGTTGCACATGTCTGATTATTGGTGTCGATTGGTCTTAAGAGGAAACTTAAACGTTGACTTAAGTACATTTATTTTCGATTTCTTTCTAGTTTTAGGGACGCAGATTCGCAGAGGTATCCCAGCGCAGCATTCGCACTGAAATACTCCAAGGCAGAAGCTCGGCACAGAGCGGCGGGATAACCCGGCACCACTCCAGTCTGTCGGACGGGGACGTTGCGGGTGCAGCCGGCACCGGCAACGAGCTTCAATTGGATAATTGGGGGCACAAGTGAATAATGGTCAGTGACGGTCCTCACCGTGACGTACGGACGGTGCTGGATGCAGCTGAGAGATGACGGAGAGAGAGACGTGGGACGACAGGGGGAGGAAGCGAGGGAGTGAGAGGAGAGAGGAGAGAGGGAGAAAATAAAACCGGGGAGAACTATACAACTTTGCTAGCTGGCTAATGTATTGTTAGAAACATTACACGGAAAAATTTAAAACACGTGACTGATTTGACATATTTACTGTGTGCATCGGTAGTTTTGCTCGGAAAGATAACCGATTTCACCGTGGTATTTCATGCATTCCTAGCAGTCACGTGACATTTTAATGACGACATTTATTAAAAGAGCGAATTAGATGCGTTAACTTTTGGAACACCATTATTACTAGAAGCATTGTTTAACAAATCATTGCTACACGGTCATCTTTTTTTGTAATAATAGTAACGCCTTTAAAACTGACAAGCAATTTTCTAGCAGTTATGGGCGTGATGATCAATGTGAAAAGATACACTTCTCGTAAATGCTCAAAATCAGCGGCTAAGAGGATCGAACTTAGCAACGTCTGGCATTATGATTGTCAATTCACATCTCATGACTGAGTCTGAAACCATCCCTCCCGACAGCAGCAGCGACAGCCGGGAACCACCGGGTGACTCCACGACCAGCCCCGAGGGCGCCGCGCCGGCCGGGTCCGTGAGGGGGGGGGGGGAGAGCGGGGAGGGGAGAGAGGCGCCGGGGAGCGCGCAGGGGTACCCGCAGCTGCGCCGCAGGCATGCGGCGTCGCCCGCTCTCCGTCAGCCCAACGCTGGCCCCGCAGCCGCTCTCCCCCTACCGGCGGCCGCGACGCCTACGATAGCATCGGATCGGCACGTGGCACGTGTCGCCCGTACCGCGTCGGCGCCGACGCAGCCACCATCGACGCGGCCGACGATCGGCAGATAGGACGGGCGTGAGAGGGAGGAAATATTTACGACGGTGGGTGGTAGGCGTGCCTCAATAGATGAACAAGGGAGAGGAAAAAAGAAGAATGTTTGTATGTGTGGATGTGTAAGGGTGTGTGTAATAGGGATAGAGAGAGAGAGAGAGAGAGAGAGAGAGAGAGAGAGAGAGAGAGAGAGAGAGAGAGAGAGAGAGAGAGAGAGAGAGAGAGAGAGAGAGAGAGAGAGAGAGAGAGAGAGAGAGAGAGAGAGTGATTAAATAAGTAGTATATATCATTTTTTATCGTTATCATTTATTGCGAATATTTATTACGAAAGCATAATTATTCCTTAATTCTATTGACTACAACCGGCATACTTTTTTGCATGACTTTCTGAAACGCGGTCCGAGTTGGAGTGTGCAGAGATCGGATCCATACAATTGACAAGAGGCGTTTTGTTAGCAGACAAATATTCGGCTGCAGCTATTCTTAGGCCATGAGCCCGCCCGCCCCCCCCCCCCCCTCCACCCCATAAGTTCCTCCAAGTCCAACTACGCCAAAATATCATTTATGTGAAAATATCAGTTAGGCTGGCTTATATTTTTTACATCAATTTTTTTGGCACCGCTGGCTCTTGCGCCTCAAAAGTAAGCGCATATGGCCATTTTTCTGTTGGTAAAACTGGCCTCGATTTCATTGAAGCACATTCAAAGCTCGCTACGATAAGTTCGCTAAGTTCGCTAATCTTGCAGCTGAATCTTGCTCCGTCAGTGGCCAGAGCCAGTACCAAGAGCATTACCATCCACAGCTTTCTCTGGGATCATTCATCAGCATTCGCCGCTGTAATCAAATAATTACTTCGGATTACCAGAGCATGCCGTTTAAACATCATTGTCATGTGGCATCATAGCTGACAGCGGGAACTCAGTTTCCTCCTAGGAAAGACCATTATGTGGTATGACAGTTTGACGTTTGTGAAAAGCGATAATGTGAACACATATATATTGCACAAA